CTGGAGGTGCTGGTGATTGAACATGGGACCTTCTGCATGCAAAGCATATGCCCTGTCACTAAACCCTTCTCCTAAATGCTGAGCAGATTTCTGACCACTTTGTGCCTCCAGTCATTCCATGTCCATAGCTAAGCACTATGCCATAGTTAGGTATGTATTGTGGTTATTGTGCTATTGTATTTTGGCTGTTTTCTGTGAACCACTTAGAGAACAAATGTGTTAGCGGAATACGCAGTATATAAATAAACTGACTAAGGTTATGGGCAGTGGAGGTTAGGAGCATAGGAGAGCCTGAGTGCTTCAATAACTGAAGATGCAAAAAAGAGAGACAATTTAAAATGGGTTAGGACTTAAATCAAGATGCACGTTTCTGAAAAATGCCTGAAGTGGAAACGCAATGGAGTGACACAAAGGCACAAGTGCAGGAGAACATATTCGCTGATGCAAGTGAGCATGGAAGAATGGAGTGCCATAAAACCCCAGATGAATGGCACTGCATTTATGGTGTTTTAAACAAGCACAAATAAAGAAATGTGATTTGATCGGAAGGGGAGCCACACACCATACATCACTAAACAAATCACTGATTCCAAAAGCAAAGCAACAACACACGGCAATTAGAGGCACTGCAAATACAGTAATAAGGGACGGAAATGTAAATTGAAAACTGCCTTGTCTACTGGATGACAGAAATGGTGCTGATAATCTGGAAAGTGACATCTAGCTTATATGCAACATAAGAATGAGAGGCTTCACTGTGTCAGACCAAAGCTCCGTCAGCCTGCAGTTTGATTCCAGCTGTGCCTAACCAGATGCCTCCAGGAAGGTTGCAAGCAGGGCGTGAAGACATCAGTCCTCCTTTGCTGGTTCAGAGCTTCTGTTGATAAGACTCTAAACATGGAGTCTTAATTAGGCTATCATGTCGCTATAAATTCTCATATTCTCCATGAGCTTGTTTCACCCTTTTATAAAGCCATCTGAGCCAGATAGCCAAAATGGTGCCTTCCAAATGGTATTGGACTCCAACTCTCATCAACTTCAGCCAGTCAGGGATGATGGGAATTGTAGTCCACCAACATCTGGAGGGAACCACATTGGCTATCCCTGATCTAATCTTTTGACTATTACAAGTTCTTTGGTAATGTATTCAGAAAGCTAATTATGTGTGAAGCCATGCATACACGTGGTTGTTATCTGAAGTGTTTCATGTGCATGCTCTGAGGGGTGTGTGGAGGGTGGTAACAGAAGAACAGGCATTTTCAGTGGTGGCTCCCGGATTGTGGAATGCTCTCCCCAGAGAGATGTGCCTAGTGCCATCCTTAGGCACCAGCCAAAGACATTCCTGACTCGCCTGACATTCCACATATTGGGCTCTTAATTGGGGTCACATGGTATGAAGATACCCTAGCCTACATAGGTGTTCATCTTTTAGCAGGCTGGGGTAGGATTTGCACTTTTTTATATTATTGCAGAATGAGCACTTTTAGTTAATGACCTTCTTTTATCTTTTTGATGTATTCTACATTTTGTGTTAAAAATGCTTTTGCCATTGTAAGTCCCTTTGAGACCTTAATGTAGTAAGCAATGCATAAATGCATTGAATTAATAACAAAGACTTTCTGTGTGAAAACTGTATTGTATAAAAAGGCCCCCATTTACCTTTTTTAGTTTACCCCAGGGGTAGATCTGGCCCTCACTTCTAAATGAAGCAGTCGCAAGCACATTTGCTTGGTGGCCTATAAGAGTGCTGGTGAGACAGTAAGTAAAAGCCATTTTGAACAATAGGTAAAGGTAAAGGTACCCCTGCCCGTACGGGCCAGTCTTGACAGACTCTGGGGTTGTGCGCCCATCTCACTTAAGAGGCCGGGGGCCAGCGCTGTCCGGAGACACTTCCGGGTCACGTGGCCAGCGTGACAAAGCTACATCTGGCGAGCCAGCGCAGCACACGGAAACGCCGTTTACCTTCCCGCCAGTAAGCGGTCCCTATTTATCTACTTGCACCCGGGGGTGCTTTCAAACTGCTAGGTTGGCAGGCGCTGGGACCGAGCAGCGGGAGTGCACCCCGCCGCGGGGATTCGAACCGCCGACCTTTTGATCGGCAAGCCCTAGGCGCTGAGGCTTTTACCCACAGCGCCACCCGCGTCCCTATTTTGAACAATAGGTTGTAGTAAATTGGACATACAACTGAGGGTACCCTCAAGCAAAGCTGGAGCCAATCCCAGTTCCCTTACTATTGTATCTACATAGCACACAGACTTGCAAACATACACCTCCACAGTAATATATTACATTTCTGCACATATTGGCAATATCATTTACAGGTATAACTTCAGCATGTGCAATGAGTGAAGCAGCCCTAAGGCTGTCAACAGCTGGCATGTGAAAGATGCTTCTGAACCACCACTAGCTTCATGCCAGTGAAGATGAGTTCAGCAGGTGAGGGTTTTTCATCCACGACAGTTGTGTCATGGAAAGTTCTGCACCTGCTCATCCTCTCCATACCATACAGCTCTGAAAAGTATAGGAACCAATTGGGTGTTAGGGATTGGAATAAGGCAGATCAACTGGGATAGCCAAGTGAGACATGATAGTTGGGGCCAATATAATTACTCTACGCAGCCGTAAAGAGCCAGATTAGGATGTAGAGGTTAGGATCTAAACCCCACTCAGTCATGAAGCTCCCTGGGTGACCTTGGACCAGTCATTGCCTCTCAGACTAACCTACCTCACAGGGCCGTTGTGGGGACTGAGGAGGGTGAGAACCATGCATGCTACCTTGAGAAAATAAAGATGGAATATAAAAGAAATACTTAAAATGTAAACCCTGTGTGGTCACACTTCAATCATAGCATTGTAGAGTTGGAAGGGACCTCCAAGGGTCATCTAGTCCAACCCCCTACAATGCAGGAATCTCGATTAAAGCATCCATGACAGATGGCCACCCAACCTCTGCTTTAAGACCTCCAAGGAAGGAGAGTCCACAACCTTCAAAACATTTACTCTGGAGTTCTGTTAATGGGACTACTCTGGAGCAAACTACAGGAGGTTTTACAAATCTACCAGTACCACCATAAAAAGCTTTCTTGGATAGAGAAGAGTCTTTAGTTCCCTTTTTTTGCTTTGCGTATCTGTAGCTGATTTTGGCAAGAAGACCCTCAACTCTTTTAACAACAACAGCTTGTATAATAGCAATGGCAGATACAGTCCTTTCCAACATCAGACCTGCCCAATAATCTGGAAGATAGATCTAATGGATTGAGCCAGATACCTGCAATCTTCTGTCTTGTGCTTATTTCTCTCTCCCCACCCCAACTCTTTCCCTCTCAATATATTGATGATTTTGCCATCATCTATATTCTCTGCTTCCATCTGCCCTAGCGTTCCTTACTTTTGCTCTTTTTCAGTTTGTTTCATAATCTGATACATAGAAGGGGTTTTCTGGGGTGGGGTGAGGGGATGGCAGAGACACATGAAGGATGCATTATTTCTGTGTGATCCATCTGTGTTTATCCGTTCACTCCACTATCTCTCACTCTCAGTTTCTATTAATCCTCAGCTCATCAGTCTTAAATCCCTCGTGCCCTCTGATTCATTTACGATGCAGGCGACTAGCAATTTAAAAGAACAACAATAACCCACCCTCTGAGGTGACTCCTCTGGGATCCCTCGAGTTAAGATGTTAGGTAGCCCTCAAAATTATGCCCCTACTTTTTGGATATGGGCCGTGAAAGAAAATGGGTTTGCAACTTGAAATCAAAGGAGCATGTCCCTGCCTGCTGTGCATGTGTTTGCATGGGGGGCGGGGGCGGCGGTGGGTAGACGGAAAGACACTTGGGGGAAGAACAGTGGCAAATCTCTCCAGCGTTTTCCTCTCTACTGCCCAGAGGGAGGAAACACCACTGCAACCCTCCCCGGCACCCTTCCTGCTGGCAGCGTATTATCATCTTCTCTCACAAACGCCAGAGACGGTGTATATGAAGCCATCATAGCCCCTTTCTCCCTTCAGTTATGAAACAGGAATAACAACAACACCCTAAACGGAGCTGGCGAGACTGAACAGCAACTTGGGGAAACCCCAGCTGGAATCAAATTTTCACCTCTGCTGCTAGGATAAGGCAAGGCGCTCTGCTTCAAAGCACATCCTTCTTCCTGCAGCACGGGATATATAATAAAACTACACCTTACAAAGTGGATGCAAAGCGTGCTGAGATAATATAACTAAAGCGATTTGTATATTCGGGGCGGGCGCGACACAAATGCTTAGCATTGCTGCTGCTGCTGCTGCTTCCAATGGTGATGTTGAGGACAGACGAAGCACCCTCGACTGTCCATTGAATGAGCCTCTGCCCATGAGTGGAGTTTTATAGAGCAGGGGACAGAAAGAAGAGATTGCCAGGAGTCCTCTGCAAGTGAGGAAGGAGTCGGACTAAACCCCCTTCTCAACCATGGGGGGAGTGTGTGGGGCGCTCCTCTTGCCCCTTCGCCCCAGGGAAACTCCTCCCATTCCGCAAGCACCAAGAAAGTACTTATAAAAGACCCTCCCTGGAACTCACATGGGAGACATCCCAAGCAGGGGAAGGGAGCTGAAGGTGGCTCCTGCGTCCTCTTTTATAATTTCCCTCTTCTTCATCATCCAAGGAGTAAGGGGATGTAGCAGAAAACCCTGGGCTGCCCAAACAGACAGCTACTCAACTCTCGGGGGTCCGCTTCCCGTAGAGAACTCTGCACCACGCCTCAATTCAACGGTGGTGTCCCTTGTGGCGTCCCAAATTTGGAATGAGGGAGAGGGCAAAAATAAAACTAATACTAATAGGGTGGATGCATCACCTTTCATCTCTCTCTCTCTCTCTCTCTCTCTCTCTCTCTCTCTCTCTCTCTCTCTCCCTCTGTCTGCCCCCCTTCCCCGCCCCCCAATAATCGCCTTAACAGGCTCTCTGCGGGAGAGGAGAGCCGGAGGGAGGGCGTAAAATGGAAGCGGAGAGAAAAGACCCATCGCTTACCCCGCGCGGATGCTGCTGGATGAGCTCAGGGCTGGAGAGGCGGCGGTGGCGGCGAGGGTGGTCCAGGAGCTGCGCGGGGTCCCGTGGAGGATGCCGGAGGAGGCTGGTGCTGAGGGAGGGGGCTGGCTGCACCTGCCACTCCAGGATCTCCGCGGCTTCCCTCCCTGGAGAGACCCAAGCGGGGGTGGAGGGGGCGCGGGGAGGATGGTGAGAGGCCGGCTGTCGCTCAGATGCACAGAATCCACCCCCTCCCCTCTCTCCCCGGCTGCCAATCAAGCCCAGGGTGGGAGGATCCAGCTGGGATGGAGGAGGAAGAGGAGGAGGGAGCGGGGCGAACTCCCGAGTTGTTCCAAGGAGAGGAGAGGCTGCTGCAGGCTTTTGAGGCGGGCGCCTCTGATGCCCTGCGCAGGGGCGCTGGCAGGAGACCTCCGGGACGCGGCGCTGCTTTCAGCACCAAGGACAGCTCCCGCGGGCTGCTGGCTTGCAGGCAGGAGGCGAGCGGATCGCTGCAGCCCTCAATTATTCAGCGCTTCTCTCTCTCTTTCTCTCTCCTCCTCCCTCCCGTGCCCACGTGATCCGCTCAGCAGCACCAGCAGCAGGAGCCGCGAAGACAACCATCCTTCCCCACCACGTGTTAGTCAGACTCAGACAGCGTTAACGTGGCCCCCACGGAGATAACCCCACCCTAACCCCACATTCCTCCTACCCAATGATGGCTTGATAGCATCAGAAGAGTTGGAGAGGGGCCTTGAAGAACATCTAGTCCAGCGCCCGCCTTCATGCTTTCGGAAGCCAGCATTGAGAGCATCACGAACTAAGTGGTGCAGTTAGGGAAGCTTAGACTCTGGACTCAATCCTTTGAAGAATAAGGTGGGCACTTGTCTTTAAATGGAAATGTGTGTTACTTCACTTTCTTCAATTGGTCATAAGTGCCGACACTGCTCCATTCTTCTGGTGGTGCTTTGACTGCATTCCATGTTATGTGTCACTGCCCTGGGACCAAATGGTGAAGGGTAGGTTATAAATAAGTAAATAAATAATATGAATGATCAGCCCCAAAGTCCTACCTGGATGTTACCACCGTTCTCAATAAATGGCCGTTCAGTCGCTGCTTGAAGATCTTGACCAGAGGCAGAGTGGGAACCACACCAATCCTCTAGGCATAGAATCATGGGAAAGTAGCAAGAAAACATAAAGTAAAAAATATCTCCCTTCCATCCATTCACATAGTGTCTTCTTCTGGCAGCGACCCATAGAACAGCTGCAAGTTAAGTTGTGATGCAGTCTTTGCTGGAAAGGTGTGGGAATTAGGAATATATGAAGCTCCGTTATGCAGAGTCAGATCATTGGCGTATCTAGTGCAGTATTGTCTACACTGACTTGCAGTAGCTCCCCAGGGCTTCAAGACATCTTCAAATATCTCAAGGGCTGTTACATGGAGGAGGGAGCATGCTTGTTTTCTCCTGCCCAGGAGGGTAGGACTCGAACTAATGGCTTCAAGTTGCAAGAAAGGAGATTCCGGCTAAACATTCGGAAAAACTTTCTGACAGTAATTGCTGTTCAGCAGTGGAACAGACTCCCATGAGAGGTTGTGGACTCTCCTTCCTTGGAGGTTTCTAAACAGACGTTGGGTGGCCATCTGTCACGGATGCTTTAGCTGAGATTCCTGCATTGCAGGGGGCTGGACTAGATGGCCCTTGGGGGTTCCCTTCCAACTCTATGATTCTATGATTCTATGATAAACAAGACTTAGTGTTTGATCTCTGGTTTTACATGCGGCTGCCATGTCTCAGATCCTTTGATGCCGTCTCTGAATGCCATTCTGTGCTGCTTACTGTATCCCTTCTTAATTTAGTTGTGAACAATTGATGTATGACAAAGCCCATTTAATGTTCACAGGGGCAAGGAATAAGAGACACTCTATGACTGGCAGAATCCGAGACCTGGGAGAAGAGCTAGTGGAAGAGGACTGGAAGAAATTTAAAGACTACTTGCAAAAGTATTGCAAATTGTATGAATGTTAGAATGATGCAGGATATAAAGATAATATGGTATTAGTGATATAGTTGAAAGGAGTATCTAAAAAATGGTTTATAGAGCAAAGGTGAAGTCAGAATAATATTATGTCAAACCTTAACAAAATGAAAAAATGGGGAAAAATTGGAGGCATAATAGTTGAAATGTATAATATGAAATAAGATTTGAAAGAAGGTGAGGCATTGCTGAATAAGATTGTGTAAAGGGGAACACAGAAAAGGGAGACGCGAGGGAGTCTGGAAGGAGGATTATGAGAATAATATCTAAGAAATTGGTTTTTTTATGTCTTTTTTATGTCTTTTTTCTTTTGCTGTTTATGATGGGTTTTTTACTGTGCTTTTCTATTGATTGTGATGGTGTTTTTTCTTTTTTCTTATTCTGTTTTGTGAAGTTTGTTTTATTGTTTGAAACATTAATAAATATCTTTTTTAAAAAAAGGAATAAGAGACACTCTAGCTCATCTGTAACATATAAGCACTCTGGAGACATTTGTCTGCATGCTAGGCTTGATGGTGACTGATGTATGGTTGTGTGTGTGTGTAGGGCCTTTTTAGCAGCATTCAGAATGCTCTTTCTTGAGAAACCTGACTGGTTCTTTTCCATGCCGAGTTAAGAACTTTTTCTCTCTCCCAGGGTTTTTAAATGTATAATTTACTTTTGCTGCTTGAGCCCTGTTTTATTGCTGCATTTATTGCTGTTTTAAACTGCCATTTAATCATAGTTATTCCTGTGTTAGATTTGAAATTGTTTTGTTACTGTTGTTAATTTTTTTTTTTTGATGTTTTATTGATTTTGGTTGTTGGCTCACTTGGAAGCCTTGGCACAAACAAACAAACAAACAAACATTCACATACCACTGAGTGGCAAACTTGAATTTGCCACTATGTGCGTATACTTAACAAGGAACTAGGGCCAGTCCTTTACTCCGTTTATCAGGGTTTCCCAAACTTGGGTCTTTTTGCAGCTGTTTTTGGACTGCAACTCCAAGCACCCATAGCTAGTAGGACCAGTGGTCAGGGATGAGGAGAATTTCATTATGAAATTCAATATGGCATTCGTAGGGTGATTCCCATGTGGCCTCTTATCCTGGTATCATTTGAGTAAAGACTACTGTTGAATGCCTACCATCTCTGAGAGCTGTCCCAAGTCCTGTAGAAACTGACGCCATCCAAGCTCCTTAGAACCTGTTAGAACCTTGAGGATAAGAAATCTGTGACACTCTAGATGCAGTTGGACTTAACACTCATCAGCCCCAGCCAACATGGCCAATGGTCAGGTATGAAGGGAGTTATAGTCTAATAGCATGTTGAAGGCCATAACTTACCCATCTCTGCTGTACCTGCTACCTGCTACATAATGCTGGGTGACTCTCCATAGACTCACACTGTGAATGTGCAAGACACTGGCTTGAGCTTCCCATGCTCCATGGACTTGAAGAAGTTCCTTACTGAAAATAGAAGACTCCAAGTTGCCCATTACTGAGCAACACTAGCCTTACACAAGCACTGTGTATCTTACAGGCATTATTCACTCCAACATGTCTGTTCTGTGCAGGACATTTTGCACAGCTCCACACTATGTGCCCGAGTCTGTTTGTATAAGAAGGATTTCAAAATGCAAAATCATTGTTTAGAGGAAGTTGCCAGGAGCAATTATATTATTAGTTTTTGCAGGCCATTCTTTAGGTCTGATGAGTCAGGATGTTCACTGGGCAAAGGTTCTTATTCTAATTTGTTTAAATGGCAGCCAGCAGGATCGTTCCGTGACCAGCCAGTTGCTTCGAGTCATCATTTGTGCTGTGCTTTTGGATGAAGACCAGGTGGAAGCCTGGATTCTAACAGTTATTTTTAGAAAGGTGTCCAGAATGCTGGGACGTGAATGTTTTGTGCAGATTTGTTCAACAATCCACTAAAACCCTCGTACTCATGAGTCACAATGGTCTTTTGGAGGTCACAATGACTGCTATACGCCATCTGAGGGAAGAAGGATAATTTGTCCTGAATCCCTTTTGGTTTATATTATTATTTATCATGCTCTGTTATAGAACAGCCTTCCTTGACCTGGTGCACTCCCGAAGTCAATGGACTACAACTCCCATCACCCTCAGTCATTGCCCATGCTCATTGAAGTATGCAGGCATTTTAAAATATAAATAGCATCAGCTGTGAATTGGATCACAGGCCTGCAAAGGCAACTTTTCATTTCCAGCCTTTGCTGTGATCCTGAGGGAAATCTCTCTTATGAAACTGGTATTAGCTGGGGGGGGGTACCTTATTGACATTGGGGAGAGCATCTTTCCAATGCAAATAGCAGCTTGGGGAGAGGGGTTTCATTCCCCGCTGTGTTCCCAATAATTATCAGCTCCCCCTTTTGATGCTATTTACATTTTCAAATACCTGCATGTTAATTGCAAAGGTACAATTAATATTTGTACTGGAAGGACAGATCCTGAAGCTGAAGCTCCAATACTTTGGTCACCTCATGAGAAGAGACGACTCCCTGGAAAAGACCCTGATGTTGGGAAAGATGGAGGGCACAAGGAGAAGGGGACGACAGAGGACGAGATGGTTGGACAGTGTTCTCGAAGCTACCAGCATGAGTTTGACCAAACTGCGGGAGGCAGTGGAAGACAGGAGTGCCTGGCGTGCTCTGGTCCATGGGGTCACGAAGAGTCGGACACAACTAAATGACTAAACAACAACAATTAATATCATGTCTAGTTTGGTCCTTGCCCTATTTGGTGGTCTTCCAAGAGCTGGGCTTGTTTATTTATTATATTTCTCCTGCAAGAACATTGAAGAGTTTGGGCTAGTTCCAGCACTCAGCATTCTGGGGGTACTCACATGTGGGGATTTCTACATCCCCGCAAGCAGGTTCTCTTGAAACCACCCTTTACCAAGCAGAATAATATGAACCATCTTACCATAGTTTCTCTGGATGTGAAAATTTCTTCAGTAAGAAATGTGGGCAGTAAGTTATGAATACCATCTGACAAGTAACACCAGAGGGAAATATGTAAGGAAGCTGTGAATTATCCATGCGGACGATGTACGAGTCGCACACAGAAATGTGCCTGGTTTTCCTGGAACATTTTAAATATTCATTGGAGGAGTCTGAGTTCCTGAATAAAGCACCTCTATGGAAGCACCTCAATAACTCCATGATATCTTTTTGATGACTAAGGAACACAAATGTGCATGTATGCTCTATTTGTATTTTTTAAAAAAATATA